AATCTGTATATGGTCACAACGGTAATATCATTGCGTATTGTGGCTGAGAAATATTTCCAGTTTCATTTCATCGACTATGAACAAAAAGGACAGCTAGTGTTTGTTTTGTTCTTATTTAATGGTTGCCTTCTTATTTTTGTTTTAGTTCCTGACGAGTTCTCATTCAGAAATCCTGATATACATATGTATATTGAGGCTATAATATTACTAAGAAGTTTGTAACATAAACAATGTACATGTTGTTTATGGTTATTATCTCTAGTATTTTTGGTGCTCAATAGGTGTCGCTCATCGACCTTCGAATTCTACTACTAAAAAACTGGAATATTCAAACGTATATCTTTTTTATGTAAAATAGAACGCTTGGTCACAATATCATTCGATGTAAAATGACACGATGTGGTCGACGCTGTTACGCGTTTCTAGGAATACCTATTGACTCTTGCCTTGAATAAACCCACATTGTAGCTTCATCATTCCATTCCTTTGTTGTATGTGCTGATGCTTATCAGGAAAGATGAATTAAAGCGCTTCTTGCGAATGGGTAAGTCAATAGGAGTCATAAGGATGGAGTGTGCCGGACTTTATCGCTGAAATATGACGTTAAGTGTTGTCACTAAGGAACCCCCGCCGCCGCGCGGATGTCGTGTCGACGCTGTACGTGCTTTGGCAAGACGCTAACGCTTGAAAGACGCTAGTGTGTGGGGTCTCGCATCCGTCAAAAGAAAACGAATAGACAACCTATACAGTATTATTCATACAAAGATCGAATAAACAAAGAAAATTTCCTTCGATCCGATTGGATTCGAACCAGTGTCTGTTGCCTCAACGTGGTTACCAGCTGAGCTACGTATCGAGCGGCTTTTTTTACAGTAACGGCACCTGTGAGAACTTATGAAACTTTCTTCACTCAGACAGGTACCTTTACAGCTACCAGAAAATAAGTAGCCTATACAGTATTCATTTATTAGTATCACATCAACTTTCTTTACATTCATTTATATCTCGAATACTTCTTGATTAGGCTAGAATTGTTTTGAAAGCGGCGGCCGGTCTTGTTAATTCTTTCACGTTTTCGATATAGCCATCGCTTTAAATATGATTCGAGTCTTAAGTCGAAGTGAATAAGACATTGATTTGATCGAATTGCTGGTCAACTTGTACCATATTCCCGTGTGTGCGACAAGCGATGTTTGAACGTTGGCGTTGGTCAACGAATCTATTAATTAAAGTATCACGTCATCCTGTGGATGTAATAGTGATAATGCTACCTACGTTTAAATATCGCTCTTGTGATTTGGCCCTTACAGAAGCCTCAATAATGTAACTAAAGGAACAAATTAATGTAAGTTGTTGCGTTTCGTTGTGTCGTAAGTTTGTTGTTCGAAGAGTGCTTTTAACTCAAGCGAGTGATGTGCGGGCGCACTACCCACTAACTTTGCTTTTCTATACGATTTTATAAGGTGTGTTTGAAAAAAAAATTCATGCTTTATTTTCCTCATTCTTGACAACTTAACTGTTAACTCTCGATAAGTTTTTTTATTTCTTAGTTTAATCAATATATGTAATATTTAAGTAGAAACAATCTGTCTACCTACTTATTTAGCTATAGTCGGATTATTAAAAAGATATAATTAACTGCCGTTTAGTGGGTTGCTAGTTTTTCATGAAATAAAAGTTGTATTAAATGATGAATTTCTTGATTGACTTATCATTTGCCGGTATTAATTTATTATGAAAGTATGTTGAGACTAAATGTAATGAATTATTGTTTAGCATATTCAGATAGCAGTGAGTTTATTGTGAACTCGACTAAACCCACACAATAAACATGGCAACATTAGTTATCAAAGTGACATTAATAACTGTCATTTTGTAATTTCTAAATAAAAATCCGACTATACTTTTAATTATCTGTTTGTAACAATGCTATATTTCCTCATAGTGATAAGTACGAATAAAGTTAGTGAGATAGTACACCGTGTAACGCCGTGAGCGCCTTGTATAGTTTGTTGTAGGGAAGAAGTGCACTTTGTGAGTAGCTGTTGAAATGTTGATAGCGAACGCATTATATTTTTGGACAGATCCACAGATTAAAACATTAAAACTTATACCAACTTATTTTATTTGTTCGTAAACACTGTAACGTGATACAATTTTTTTTTTGAAACATTTTCAAAGTTGACGATAAATGACAGGTGGTGAGTATCAAAAACAATGAACGCACTCGAAACTGGCAATAATGTACGACCTTTGGTAACAATATAAAGCTGGATTTACATTTGTCTGACGTGTCGTGTCGTCGTGTCGGCTTTAGGTTGCTTCTTTTTTTAATAAATGTGTATTTATAAACAGTAACCCCCACAGTTTATTGATTTCAAGGTAATTTGCTTGAATTTTAAAAACTCAACAGCCTCTGCACACTTCGGGGGTACTTACTTATATATATTTGTTGGGACTAGGGGTAGTTTCGGCTACGTTCATATTTCCTCCCATAACTTAATCCTTCTCAGTCTGCTAGCATGCAGAGTCTTGGATGCAGATAAGTTTTACCAAAACGGTGTCCATAGATAAAAAAAACAGATCTAATCAATCTAACGTTAATTTTCCATTATCTATGGTTAGAAAATAAATGTATTTTATTGCGAATCGTACTAATTTCATGAGACTTACGCATTATTCGAGATGATTCTTTGGTTTTACAATGGTTACAAGTAATAACATCAATTTTAAAGTTTACTACATAACCCAAATGCACATTTTTGACTAGCACAAATTTGGAACAATTTAGGAACAAATGGCTTTCTTAGATGCCATAATGAGTAAATAATCACAGGTACTTACATAATAATCACATCATTGGTGCAAATTTAAGGAAGACACCACATATAACGACGTGGAATCGTCTTGAGCTGACCAGAAATAGTTTCATGTTTATGTAATAAGAGAGAAAAACACATGCGTTACGCCTGTGTCGAATTGAATCGTCAACGATATTTTTTTCAAGTCGATCCCGTATCGATAAGTGGGTTGATACCTTAAAACATCAACCAGTATTGAACGACTCACGCCAACCATCGAAAGATAGATGATTCTTTAGAAATAACTTAAAGATTTAAGTGATACTGAAATTATACGCCTTTAAGGACATCAAAAAACAATCTTCTTTATCGTCTCTTTGAAAAACATTGAAATAAACAGTCTTTGTAAAATGTTGTGTACAGTTTCAATATCACTTGTGAATATTTCCAGGCGTACTTTACAGCGTTACATATATCTTATTACGAGTAATTCAAATTTGAACACTGATTCCTAAACAGTAATTTTAATGGTCTACCTTAGCCTACTTCAATAGATCACAGCTAAATGGAATGAAAGGTATACCCTTGTTTTGTAAAATAAAAAAGAAATCGTCTATTTCTACTATTCTCCCTCAACTTTGCAGTAAATTAGGGAAAATTTATATTAAAATAAAAATATTTTCATAAATTGAAAAATTGAAATTGTTTCAATTTCCCATTATAATGTCATCATCAAACCAACTGACATCCCACTGCTGCGCACGGGTCTAAAAGTGACTAGATGAAAAATCTTAGAAAGTCTGCCAACTTGAACGGGAATAGTAGAAGTATCTACTTCTATCTAGTAATATCATAGTTTGAGATGAATTTCATAGTTTAATTGTGATTTTAGCATCAATTTAACACCATTGTTGGTTAAAATTGAAAATTTTCTTGTATTTGGAAGACAATATTATATGCTTCTGTGTTGTTCTTGAACATTTGAAATTCCTGATTAGTGCTTACAGCACCGAACACGTTGGAGGCTCTTGCGTTGGGCAGGGCACTGTGGTTTGAATAAACACATGGATACATCGGGGGCGTAAAAGCCAAGCATCAAAGTTTACAAAACGACGGAAAAAAACCCAAAAAATTTAACAGACGAGAGAAATATTTGTATGGCCTACATTTATTACTCTCGTGAGTTTGGGTGTAATTTGTGGTTGTCTATGTGTGTGTATTCCCTAGCTCCGGGCTTTGTTGAGTGTGTGCGTTATTATATCTTTGGAGTGTTTTGTGAGACTATCAGGGTGCGGTTATTTGCACAAGTTGGTATTGTTAGATGGTTCCAATCTGTTTTGACTGAATAAGCAATTAGTGCTGAGAACATTTTGTATCCATGTTTGGTTAGGTCATAGATTTAGTATCTATGGGTTAGGTAGTATTTTGATTTATCTGTTTGGATTCTATTAAGTGTTTTTTATGTATTGTTTTTCTAATGGGGCTCACATGTTTAATAATGACCAAAGCCCCTAAATGAAAAAGAAAAAATAAACTATGTTTACGTGACAACGCGTTAGTTTGGTTCGAATCGATGAAAATTAATTGATATAATATGAAATAAATTAACTGCCTCTGTGGCCGAACCAGAGGTCCTACCGAAAATCTACCCCGGGACCTTCATTGCAAACCAGGCCACAGAGGTCAACAAAACAATCGAAGTTAAAGCAATATTACAGTAATTTGTTGACTTTGGATTCGGATTATAATTAGTGATGATCACAAATAGGTCAACTGAAGGGTTCCACCCACGAAAATTGATGCTTAAACCACAACGTATATAAATAAATTCTTACAGCACTCCATTACATGGACTGCGACGCTAGAAATTCTTAATATTAATACTGTTTTTTCTTTGAAAATAAAATATAAAGTTTTTATACCAAATCTTAAAATTCATAACATGGAGTGACGGAACATCGCATTGATTTAAAGTGCTTAAAGAGTGGATACTACCTCAGCTCGAAATAAAATGTTTCCCGTACCAATCCGGTTAATTTTGCTTGGGTCGAGCGACAGGGACGCTGGCTTTATTTCAGAATTAACAAACGAAATAAAGTCATTTGAAAATTGTATATCGTATACTACACGTGTTCTATTTAGTTCAAATGATACTAAAAAAAAAAATCATATATATAAAGTACCTATTGAATACATCGGGTTTCTTGTAAAATTTCGAGGTCAGTTTATTTTCTTTTATCATGAAAATTTTTAGAAATCGTGTTTTCAAACTGTATACTAAATCAGTGTATGTTTTCAATTTTACTATGTATTTTCTCCAAAGTGACTCATTCAAAACTTTCACTTTTATGCGGAATCATCCAAAGCCATTTGAGTTTGTATCGACTCATAATAGGCGAGAGAAGTGCTGTCTAGATCTACCCTTTTTATTTTAAATAATTATAATAATACTAGTTGGCTTCTATCATCAGATCTATCGGGCACGTTCCAGAGTAAAGATACCTGCACTAGCGCTATTATTGAATAATAAAGCTAACGGTTCCGTGTAAACTGGTCAAAATAAACCAATACGACGTTATAGCACTCAAAGTTTATACTCTCCCCAAAATAGGGTAATTCATGTAGGTACATCCTATGGATGGTTTAATGCTAAATAATACGTGTAAATACGCGGTATCGCCTTGTACTAGTGTTTCAAAATCATTTGACAGTAGAGAAAGCTGTCCAGCACTGAAATAAAAAATGAGGTTAATAATAATAATCTGTATAGACTGTATGCACTACCATAGAGAATGTTTTAAAATATTGATGTAGAGAAAAAGCAATCATTTTCAATTACCAACTAATTAGCTGTTGTTACGAATAGGTCTTTAGAGATGCGCGTCGATCATAAAATCGGCGGCGGCGTTTGATGGTTTTTGGACCGGGGCGGCGGGCGGAGTGGTCGGCGTGAAATATATATTTTTCTGTTGTTTAAAACAACATCATTTAAATCAACTATACTTACAATATTGCGCAGCACTGATAAGCAGCTCATACAGCTGCAGTATTCCTTTTCCTTTTAGGATGATCTCGCAGATAAACACATATAACACTCGACTGGTTTCGAACAATGAGTCAAGGAGCAGCCAAGTGGTGATGTTCCGCCCAACATTTTGTGCAGCTGACCGGTTCATTACAATGCAACTGTTCAGGAATCCTATAGCTGATGTGACCACCATAAGACCCGATATGAAGTAGTGGATGGCTGAAAATAATAAAATAAAAAATTATAATGTTGCATAGGTCACATGAAGCGGCAAGATTAAATTTTACAAGTCCGGAGCTCTTCAACACTTGTGACATTATTTAGAGTGTTCATAAGGTATTCCTATTGGCATTTATTGCGATAATTAGGGTGTGACAGGTGAGTCTTTAATATGGTACAGGCAGCATCACATCAAGCTACACATTGACGGATCTTGTTCCGTTGCAGTGGAGGAGATATTTGAACAAAAGTGTATAGCTTAAAATGCTCATGACTGATAATGGACTGCAATTAATATTAAGAAAGATTACAAATGTATTATAAACATTGACATGCTATTATGATTGTACGTTTGATCAAATATATTTGATCGAAGAGTGTACACAACAGAAAAATATGAGTTTATTTTTTGCTTATACTAGACGAACAGTTTGTGGAGTGTATAAAGGGTGCTGGTAGCAGACAATGGTGCAATAGGTGCACTTTCGTAAATTGATTATGTGATTTTTCGTGCTAAAAGGCCTTTGTCCTTCAATATCGTATTACAATAGTATGTTAAGTTGCATAGTTGTTGTCTGTATTGAAGATATCTATTATAATATGTGGCAGATGATTGAAGCCTTAATTGGATTCTCAGAGACCTTCGGAGTTAAAAAAGTTCAAAGATTCAACTGCCGTAACAATGGCCTGATTAACAGTTATCGATTGGAATAATATTGGAAACTTTATAATACTCCATCTTAATACATGCACACGCCATTCTGACTCTCAGGTATTCCAATTATACAGGGTGTAAATTTGAGACTGGGCAGCAAGGCCACCTATCTTAAATGTTGTAATTACAGGAAAACGGTTCTAGAAGACTATCCAAGAATGTTGAAGATATTTTGATTGGCATTCACAGACTTTGAAAAAATGGTACAGTCAGCAAGATAAAAGGCAAATTTTACAAAAAAAAGTTTTGTTATGCCTTTCGAGTCTTCTAGAACCATTTTCTGTAACTACAACCGTAGCTGGCCTTGCTGCCCCATCTCAAATTTACGCCCTGTATAATTGGAATACATGATAGTCAGAATGCCGCATGTATCTTTATGAATGCTGGTCAAATGTGAGTTGTCCATAAAAATGTATAAATGAGATTAATATTTTTTAGTGTTAAATGTTATGTAAGTCCAGTGTCATGTAAGAGATCATTTTATTGTATTGGAAGAATAAAATCGGGACACAAAAATAGGTGAAATTTAATAAAAAGTTTTTTCCTACGAAAGTAATAACATTTTTTTCAATTTGAACAACTTCTGCTGTCCCATTTTCTTGCAATACAATGAAATTATCCCTATAAGCAACTGAATCTATCAGATTTTTTTTTTTTCATTTATTCATTTTGTATGAAGAATATTTTTTTATAAATGTCACCAACTTCTGCTGCCCCAATTTTTTTCTTCTAATACAATGAAATGATCCTTACATGACAGTGAGTCGATCAGCACTAAAACAATTAATCAATTTCAACCATTTTTATGGACAACTCATACTTGAGCAAAAAATTTACTATGCCAAAATGGTTTTGACCAAAAAAGACTTAATGGTTCGTATGACAGGTTGCCTATATCTCCTATCGTTTCAGGTTTCCTCATACTGTCCCAGTTATAAAAACACACTGTATAATGTATGTAATTTTGGATTTCTCATAGGCAACCCTACGCCACAAAAAGAGTACAACATTTTTTCTTTTTTTTTAGTTATTAGTAACATTTGAAAAAAAATCTTATTTGAATAAACTGTTCTAAGTACATTTAGTACAAGTTAGGTACATTTTTTGTTAGGATTCATTAAGATACACCCGCCATTTTTACTTACACTTGGATTACACAAAGATCTCAGTATATGGAAAAAAAAACCTTGTGAATAGGCATTTTTTATGCAATCATAATTGGTCACAATATCACTTAAAATTGACCAAGAGTGCATCTATTTTGTGCAAGAAAAAACATAAATAATGCCAATATTCATTTATAAAAAGAACAATATTTCATCATCATCATATCAGCCGGAAAACAATAACAATATTTATGGTCTTACTAATAAGAATATATGGACAACGAAAAGTATCCTAGTATGCTTATAATTTAAAATCTTAATTATAAAATAAACGGAACATACAAACAAGATATCTTAATAACATGAAGATAAGACTGTGACTTACCCAAGTTAGTTCCTTCTAAAGGCTCTAAGTAATACAGCTCTGGGTTTAGCAGGCGTAAGAGTGCCATCACGAATGCAGTTGCCGATGAAATCTGATTTAAAAAAATTAAATAATATGATATCACTTATGTATAGGTTCTTATCGTAATAATGTCAGAGCAAATTGTTTTAACTGGCTATGTTAATTGACCTTTAGTTAGTAAGTAATGCCTTGCCGACGTTTTTATTACCTATTGTACATAATAATTACAGATGTAACTTAAAGCATACTGAAAGTAGACATATTCAGAGCTATTACTATCTAACGTTAACCAGAGTTCGTACTATTACCAGGGTAAACAGAAATGGCAAAAATTTCACTCACCGAAAATACCGCAGCCACCACGCGCACATACATTTTTAGGTCTATCTTCGGCATTGTCTTGGATTGTGTGGACATCGAGCTTTTGATGAATAATTACACAATAGTTCTACTCAGTTTTGTGAGTGATCCATTGATATTTCCACCAATTTCTAATTATTTTCGGCAAAATCAATACGAAATCATATGATCCGTGTTTACGCAGAGAAATGTGCTTGTTTGTAATTATTTGGGTTAAATATGGGTTAAATATTGTACAGCAATTGTTTATTACAACAACGCTTTTAACTATACGCGAACAGTATTAATGTATAAAGAATGTGTAGGTGCATACAAAGATAAAAGAGCGTAAGTTCATTGTCATTGAGATTTACAAACTCCTCACTAGATGTCAGTATAAGAAAAAAAATGGCGGGTTTTAATAGTTACGTTTTTTACACGAATTAATTTTTAGTCTAAGTATATTACGTTGTGCATTTCTTGATTATTTGTTACCATTAAGCTGATAGCTCTGAAGCCAATGCTTTATAAATAAATAATAAAAATATGTCAGTATAACTATATCGGCGTGGTTTCTTGGCAGTGCTAATAGATGGCAGTACTGTACGCAACTTAAAACCTTCGACTTTTCCTATTTCTTATGTTTCAAGACTTTCAAGAGAAAGCTACTCTTCAGAAAACAAAATGTCAAAAGTTGGACCAAGTCCAAAGTATGGGACAAAAAAGTGAAACAATTGAGAATAAATAGTGCCAACTGCAATTAAATTTCCTTTAAAAAATTATTAATTTTTATTGAATTTCACGACGTTTTACCACCGCGATACCATAATTATATTTTTTTGTGAAATGACGTCACTATTTTCTTATAATTATTACCTATAATCATATAATACAAAGATTGAACACAGAAAAAATCCTTCGACCTTGCTTCAAATTATTATTATTTTAATCATCAATTGTTAGTGAATCGAATTTTGGCCTTAGTTTAAACGTCAGAAATGTTATAACATTTAGTCAGATGGTGATAAAATTAGCGAATTCAAACGTTAATATCTCGACGACTATTTTGCTTGATTTAATACGTTTGAGATTCTGTATAATTGTAGAAGCCTTAATAAACTCAAAAGTTACAAGTGATCCTTAGAATTTATGTTATAGATTTATGTGATCCGATAAGTAGCACACCATTGTGTCTAGCTTAGAATAATAACGCATAGAAGCCTAGCCCGCACACGCTAAGTGAGGCAAGTTAGAGGGTTCCAAACGCGTCCCAGGAGCGCGCGGGCTGTTAGTGCTCAAGGTCATATTGCACCGCGAACAGCTCCAAAATTTTTTGCTAAAAATGACGAAATGTGCGGTAAATGGGTGTAAAAATACAACAGACAAACAAAATAGACACTAACATCGCATTCCACAAGTAAGTAATGCGTTTCAACTCATATTTTTATGTAAATATTCACTAAAACAGAAAAATAATTTCGCGGCAACAAGATACGAAAGTGTTGCAAAGTAACGAATTTTTTTTCTCCCCATTTTGCTATTCTGTATCAAAATAATTATATTACGTAAATTTTAGTGGTGCCTGTAATTTCGATTTATTTGCGCATTTTGAACTAATATTTACTCGAATAAACATTAAATGTTTTCGTTAACTCCTGTAAGTGATTGGGACACTTAATTATTTTATAATACTTTTAACGGCTCTGCGTTCATGCTTTATTGAATAATTATTTATTTTAATTTTATTTGAATTGGAGCACATATTGCAACAAATTTACAGTACTTATATATTTGTTTCTACTATAGTGTTGGCACCACCAGTACAACTTTGATAGCTTATTATATGTCTTTCTTTTCGTAACTCAAGCGAAATATTTTATATTAAAATATTTTATTTTCTTAAAAGGGGAGCATTCTTAAGCGATTTTTTAATCTATTTTAACAGTTATTTTCTTTAATGTTTGCTTATGGCATTTTCGGTTTTAGGTTTCAAATATGGCACTTATTTCTAAATCCAAGATGGCGGGCGCGATTTTTCGAATAATGGCAAGTTGGGTATCGTTTTCGAGATGTTTGGGAATGTTCAATACAAATATGTGACTCATTTCTAAATCCAAGATGGCAAACAGGACAGTTCAAACAAAAGCAATATTCGTAATGAGCACCCCCAAATACCTCGAAAACGATACCCAACTTGCCATTATTTGAAAAATCGTGCCCGCCATCTTGGATTTACAAATAGTGCCATATTCACACTGAGCATCCCCAAATACCTCGAAAATGATACCCACATAGCATTTTTTTGAAAAAATCGTGCCCGCCATCTTGGATTTAGAAATGAGTGCCATATTCGTAATGAGCACCCCCAAGTACCTCGAAAATGATACCCATATTGCATTTATTTGAAAACTCGTGTCCGCCATCTTGGATTTAGAAATGAGTGCCATATTCGTAATGAGCATCCCCAAATACCTCGAAAAGGATACCCATATAGCATATTTTGAAAAATCGTGTCCGCCATCTTGGATTTACAAATAAGTGCTATATTCGTTTTTCATCGACAAAACCGAGCACATCTGTAGGCACCTGATCGACAATGTCGGGCAAATCTGTAGGCACCTTTAACTTAATGATGAGTTAAGCAAGATACAATTTCCCCATTTTTGAGGGAAATGTTATTCCATGGCATCATTATTTGTATATTTGTGTGCGTGCCGACGAGCGTAGTTACAAGTTGCTTACGCCTACATGAATTTGGTTTTTGCCTCACTTGTGACAGTTCGTTTGATATGAAACTATCATTCTATGCGTTATTATTCTAAGGTGTCTAGATTCCTTATGGTCTGGGAATAAATGAATAAAATTAATTTAAAAAAATGATCCATTTATTTCCCGTGACCGTAACTTGTCTGTCCTAGAATTTCGTCACGCTTATCAACATTTGTCAACGAATCAAAAGTGAAATGTAATTTTAAATGCATTGCAATTAAAAACTTTAATATTTAATCATTTTAATGTTGTATGCCTGTCAACAAATCGAGATAAGATTGCGTGCATTCTAAAAAGCTTTTAGTGCAATTAAAATCAATTGTTGTTTAATGAAATTAATGTATAACTCGACGGCGTACCGAAAACTTTACTTTTCAAAATACAGGATGTAAGAAAATGGTATAGTTCAATAATAGAATGTATAAATAAATATAATATTTCATAACATAATACATTCGAATAAGTATATTAAATAAACATACTAGTTACATATTTAATATTAATAATGTATAGGTACACAAAATAATAATATACATACTTACTATTCTGTTGTTAGGAAAGTGCATAGAATAGTACAGGAAAATAATAACGCTATTTAATAAGGAAATAAATATAAAGAAATATCAAGAGAAGATGTCTGTGGAATAGATTCAGGGAAAATACCTATATTTAAATATGTCATACGAAAGTGTTTATTGGATGACACAACAACTCCAGCTAGATATTTTTTATTACAATAGTATAGCAGCAAGTAGCTATGTCTAATTTCTTGTATTATTTCTACATAAAATTAATTAATTATACAAAACGTAGTAGTAAGTTTAAGTGAAATGTTAAGTTTTCTCGCTTAAAAACGGGGTGGATACTGCATTAATGTTATAATGGACGGGCCACGTGTAATCATTAACCCCTATTCACTGGCAACCATTGGTTTCAACTAACTCGATTTTAAAGCTATAAATTCGATTACCATTTAAGAGATGTTGGTGGTTGTAAATTAAATTTAGTTGTACAATTATTGTAAGTTATTATTTACGATTTGGTTACAACTGGCGTGGTTTATGATTACAGTTTTATGATTATTCATATTCCATTGGCACAATAAAGCGTGTGAGAAATACTCGTAAGTACAATTTCTTTATAAAACAAATGTTGGAATAAATACTTAAGAAACTATTTCGTCATATATTCAAATTCAATTGAGTGAAGTAGGTAAGTAAATTACTTGCTTCTAAGTGCGTTGGTAAAGTGTACACGAAAAGCTCTTGAAATTAACAGCCCAATTCAATTAAAATTGCATTAGGCAACAGCGAAATTACACCGGGAATTCAATTAAGTTCAAGTATTTGTCCAAACTGACCAGTACTTCTGCTGAACAAAGCTCCAAACACGAATGATCAACTTTATTTTCCCTCTTGTTTTATTTTACCACTTGCAATCAAACGGGCAGTTGTGTGGACACTTGCTTTTGTCAACAATTTCCAAAGGCTCCCCAAATACGAAAAAATACTTGCATCCTTACAATGACGAACTTTCAGTATAGCTCCAAGGGGTGCTCTTTATTGTTCCATTTCGATGTAACTAATTGTCATGCAATAAAGCGGTATGGTCGTAGTAGCTTATTGAAATTGCCATGGACATCGGTCAAACAATAAAATAACATAGTTGCTCAGCTGCTTTAAGTAATTAAAAATCGATGATTCAATATTTCATCCTGTATTAAGTTTTTCTACGAATTCTCTGTTAAGTACGCAAACGAATATTTTTATTAACACGTGTGATAGTGTCACGAGGAAAAGAGCTTTAGCATTAATATTTTGTGGTAATACATGTATTAACACAATACCATTTTTATGAATCTTGGTAGTTACAAGATGTAATTCTAACATTACATTATAGGTACAACAACAATTCTTGTACAATTGTTACTACAAACTTGAACATAAATGACAATTACCAAGTACATAACATTTTTAACTCAATTTTATTTTTGGATTCTGACTGTTCGAAGCGATGTCCACCTCAGACCTGCCAATAGATTACACTATTATTTGCACAATGAGTTATGTTGCACTCTATTCAATATGTTTGCTCGAATAATTCAAAAAAGATCCAATTGGGCTTGCTTTATGCACAAATGTCGATTGACATCGATGGTGCACAATAAACAAGGATAGCGACAACATATTAACTCAATTTAGTAATTTATTTTCATATTTTGTCGCAAGTATACAGGTTACAAAAAGAACATGAAGTAAGCAATTTTAATAAAAAAATCTTATTTGTTGTTTTTATGTTTTTATTAAGAAAACTTTATTGCAGAATAAAAAACATACCTATTCGTTTATGGTTTTTGTAATCGTAGTCAATTTTTCATGCGTTAAATTTAATTTCCAGTTAAATTTATTAATTTAATTTTCGATGACGAAAATGTAGTTACGAAAATAGATCTGTCATTTTAATTAAATTGG